GAGCCAGGGATCCCCAGCTCAGAGGCAACAGTGATGCTCCAGAGGGGTGCAAGGACCCCAAAATAGCCTGTCAGCACTCGGTCACCTGTGGTGTGCAGCTGCACCCCAGGGGGCTGGAGGGGTGCATGGACAGGAGCATCACCTGACCTCCCTGCGTGAACAGCAGCTGGATGGAAAAATTAGCAGTGCGGCTAATCAATGCAGTGCATGTTAAGCAGCTCAGTGCTGGGGGGGGACATCCAAGGTGTGGGGGAGCCAAGCAGGGTCCAGGATCGATGTGGCTCGTATTAAGTGGATTAAATCCTGGTTGCTGATCTGAGCCCTTGCTGCCAGCGGGAGGCGGCAGCTGAGCAGGGGCTGCGGGGGGTCCTGCTGCGATCACTTCCCTTGCTAGCAGGGCCCTGACGGGAGCATGGAGGGGGGGCTCCCGAGGGCAGGGCAGCCTGGAGATGCCTGGTGGCTTAGCACCTCACTGCATCCTTCCTCTGTCTAGGGGATCAGCTGGGCTATGGGGTGCCAGTGATCCCAGCTCCAGCCCGACAAGCCCCCTGCACCGTCTCTGGGAGAGCCATCTCCCCGGTGAGTGAGAGGTGCTAACAATGTTATTCAATCGCAGCAGGGAGGAGGAGGAGGCACAAGTTCTCTTCTCGCCCCTTTAATAAACCGTGTTCAACCCACTGACCTTTAACCTGCCCGACAAGCCCGGTTATCCCCATCCTTTAAGGAATAAAGATGTCGCCATGGCAATGGGATGACAGGAGGGAGCAGGGTCCCCGGAGCTGCACCCAGGGTGGGGTGTGGACGATAACCCCCTGCTCTGACCCTGCACCAGCACCCGAGCAGCAGTGTGAGGTGGAGGTGGGGCAGTGCTGGGTGTGTTGCGGCTTTTGGGGTCGCCAAGCACCAGGGACAGGGTCTCCACGGTCAGCAGAGCAGAGCTGCACCGTGCACCGGTGGGATATTGATCCCCAGGCTTGACAGTTTAATACTTCTGTTTATAGAGGAATATAGTTACATCGATGGCGTTAAATGAGTTACTAATTATATCAATACAAACACGATTAAAAGGGTCCTTGCTCATAGGTCACCGCAAGCAGGAGACGCTGCTCGTGTTGCACAACTGCCCCTGGGAAAGGCCTGCCCCACTGCTCCAAGGTGCATGATGGGGGGATGCTCTGGGGCGGTGTGTGCCCCTGTGGGGTGGGGGGTATCCACCCAGGGGTATGTGCCTTTCTGGGGCTGTGCATGCCCATCTCTGGTTGAGCATGCCCGTATGGGGTAGCGTGTGCCCATCTGGGATTATGCATGCACATATGAGGGTTGTGTGTGCACGTATGTGGTGGTGCACGTCTGTCTAAGGTTGTGCATGCACACCTGGGGTGCCTTCCCTTGCAAGGCTGTGCATGCACATACGAGGTTGTGCCATGCTAGTGCGGAGTTGTGTGCGCCCATGAAAAGCTATGCATGCTCACATGGGGTTCTGCCTGCTCTCCTGGGGCTGTGCCTGCCCACAGGAGGCTGTGCACATCCAGACATGGTTGTATGTGCGTGTGTATGGATTTGTGCCTGTGTGGGTTGTGTGTGCATGTACAGGGCTGTGCGCAGTCTCATGCTGTTCTGTGCACCCATGCGGGGTTGTACATATCAACGCAGGATTGTGCATACTTGCACAGGGTTGTAGGTGCCAGGCAAGCTTCTGTGTTCCTCTCGGGGGGATGTGTGTGCGTGTACAGGGTTGTGCACACACTTGTCTGGAGTTGTGCATGGCCACGATGGCTTGTGTGCGCTCATGGGGGACCATGTGTACCCACGCAAGGTTGCGCACACTCATGGGGTTGTGAAAGCCCGTACAGCATTGTGCATGCTATTGTAGGGTTGTGTATGCTTGTGTGGGCCTGTGCACACCATGTGGGTTGTGTCAGCCCGTGTGGGGTTGTGTACACCCACATGAGGTGTGTGTTCCCATGTGGGGATTGTGTATGACCCTGGGGGGTTGTGTTCTGCCACTTAGATGGTCAGTCCTCAAGTGAGGCAGGAAGGGACCACAGTGCCCACCCTGCGGGAGGTCCAGGCACCCTGGGTAGGATGGAACTGGCTTCTTTCTCAAGGTTGGATGTGTCTAGGGGTCCATGCCTGCAGGCTGTAGCAGACCACCACCCATGCCACCCTGTGGCACCTCTTGTGGCACCTGGATCCCGTTGCCAGCCTTGGCTGGGAACCAGCCCACCCCTCATCAGGAACAGTCCCCCCAAACCGTCTTCTGTTCAACCTGGGAATCCCCAAATCTTGCAGGACTGCCAGTGCATCCCCTGTTACTCAGCCTCACTCTCATCTCCACTTAAAAGCCGACCTTTGCTCCCCGTTTGATGTAATGTGTTTTTGCATCTTGGTGCCCCACAGATAAAAGGTTAGGGGTTAATAAATGGTGGAAAATAGATCCCAGCACTTGGAGGTCACACCTGTTTTGGGGGCTGGAGGCAGTGGCAGCACATGCTGGGTGGGATTCTGCCTGCCGTGGCGGGTGCAGAAATGTGAGCAGCACCTGGGGGGGGTCACACAGAGCTGTGGGTGCTGCTGAGCTCAGGGTGCAAGAGCCCACCCGCTGGGTTGACCCCCTGGGAAGGTGATGACTTCACCCTGCCATAGGACAGGCAGCAGTGGTTGCTGGTTTTGGAGGGTCTGCTTCTGCTTTGGCAAGCCAGGAGGTTGCAGGGGGTGGAAACAGGCTGGGTGTGGAGTGGTGAGGGTGGGAGCCCGGCTGCAGGGAGGGACAGGCAGGGAAATGCAGGCAAAGCCTGGCTGACGCAGGCTTCCCCAGGGCAGAAATCAAAGCAGTCCCCCTGGAGCTCTGCTCCAAGCCTGACCTAGTTACAGTAATCAATTTCCTAGGAAGGGACAGGCAATGGAGATAGGGCACTGAGTGGGGCAGTGGGCACCACAGTGGAGGGGAGGGACAGGGTGCTGGCACCCCGGGGTCGGGGCACCCCCAGAGCACACTGCTGCAAGGAGGAGACTGGTGGGTGGCACCCAGAGGGCAAGGAAGGGACAGGGATGGAGCTCGGAGGGGGCAGTCAGTGCCCATGGGTGTGGTGGGAGACAGGCAGTAGCCCCCATAGCCTAGGTTAGGGACAAGCAGTTAGCACCCTTCTGTTAGAAAAGGGACATCCGTGGGTTAGATGAGGGGCTGTGTTAGGTGTGTCTGCCCAGTGATGGAAACCTCTGGTTGTCTGTAAGAGCATCCTTGCATCTCTGTGTGTCCCCATATCCCCCTGTCTCTGGATCGCCACATCTCCATGTTCCACAAGTCCCTGCATCCCCACATCCCTACATCCCCATTCGTGTGTTCCCATCACATTCCTGCATTCCCCTGTCCCCCCACAGGTCCCCACATCCCCACAGCCTGACACATCCGTGCAGCCCAGCTCCCTTTATCTGCCGGGTGAACGATGTGCTACATGGAGGGGGGGTGTGCTCCCTTTCTATTGGTTTTTAACGGCCTTTCCCAGCACAATTGTTTTTTAAACGACTCTATTTTGTGCCTGACTTTGTTTTCCAGCTTGCATTTCTTTGTATATGTTTTGGAAATCTATTCTGTACTGCTGAGTTTTGTTTCTTTTCAATGGCTTTAAATTCTTAACCAGGCTCACTGGGAGGAATTGGTGTCTATAGCGCCTTCGATTGGTGCTAATTTTTCCTTCATGTGCTCTGACTTTTACTGCTGGGCCATCGATCTGGCGGGCTCCAATTTGTCATGGTCACCCAGGCACTGTGCTGGAATCAGGCAAGCCCAGGGTTTTGCACGGAGACGGCACTTCGTGTTCTTGGTACAGGGGCTGCGCTCGCCTCCCCCGTGCTGTCAGCTCAGCCTGGGTCGTTGTGTCGATGTGTCCAGGGCTGCGTCCACCCAACACACATAAGTATCAGCATGGCCATATGCGTGCGTCTGTGCAACCATGTGCATGATAACCAGCTTGCACACACATCAGTGCACCCACAAACTTGCCAGGACACACGTGCACCAGTGTTGGTGCACACATGGTACTGCACATGCTGTTTCATGCTCGTGTGCTCGCATGCAGTGCACGCACATCTGGCTTTGCACATGTGCACCCACTGCGTCGAGTCCTTGCACCTTGCAGGGACGTGTCACTGCTGTGCCCACACCCTAATCCCCGCTTGCAGCCAAGGAAGATGGCTTTGGTGTTCCCATGCCCAGCCAGCAGAGATGGCTTTGGGATCATCATGCCCAGCTGAAGGAGAAGGATTTGGCAGCGTGTCCCGTTGCAGAGGCACCTCAGTCTGTCCTTGGCCATTGGTCAGGCCCCCTCTCCTGATGGCATGGCTCAGGCCATTCCTACCAGGTCCTTGATAGCCCTGTCACCCTGGTCAAGTGGGGCAGACCCGACGCTTGCAGCTCCCTCACCAGCACCTGGCACTATGGCCCTGCCAGCTCGCTCTGCCCCGGGAGAGACCAGCGTCTCCCCTGCACAGGTGGATGCTTGTCCCTGCGGATGGGGATGCTGATCCCATGCTGGGACCTGGTGAACAGCAGCACTGGGCAGTGCTGGGGGGCTGCTGATCCAGAGCAGGGCTGAGCATCCTGATTCCAGGGACCTGCCTGGGGGCCTGCGATGTGCTGCTGCTCTGTCTACATTGGCATAATGTTCCCAGGCTGAAATGCTGTCATTACTTTGCCTAGTGAGGAGAGGGGTGGGGAAACTGAGGCACAGATGCAGCATCTTTGCAGGGAGGCTGCAAA